GGCCGGCCCCCGGCTAGAAACGCGGCCCGGGCCTTGCAGACAGGTCCGGGGGTCGGGAAGGGCGAGGAAGCCGGTCCGGTTCCAGGGATCCAGCTGAGGCAGCCCCGCTCCCTCCATCCCTTCCAACCGCCCCGCCTTTTGTATTTCCCAACGTTTCCGACGCTTCGAGCTCTCCCCTCCCGCGAAGGAGCTCCTCCGCGGGGCTCAGCGAGCGCACCCTCTCTGTACAGGACTCGCAGTACTGCTCCTCCTCTGGTCCCCACCCTGCCACTGGGAGGGGAGGGGGCGAGGGTCACCCCGTCCCGGAAAGCTGACAATCGTTTGGCCCCGGGGGAAGGCTGGTCTGGTCTATGTAAGGGACCCGAGTGGCACTTATCACCCCTATGCCTTCCAGCTCCACCCTCCCCACCCCCGCGGCCTCCCCAGCCCCGCACGGCTGTCCTTCCCTCCAAGCCTTCCAACTAGGAGAGGCTCGGGTTCAGGGGCTACTGGCTGGACCTTTTCCTCGGAGCCGCTTCTCCCCGACCCCGCTGGTAGGTCGTACAGGTGAGCACCTAACACTTTAGAAGACACCTCCTCCCAGAGCCTCTGGTGGGGACGCATGGCCGAGGGAAGTTTTCGCTTCCGGCAGGCAGCACCCACAGACCCTTAGGATTAGGGTGGGTTTGGCGGCAGAGCCCAGTCCAGCGCTGTCTCCAGCGCGGTCCTCCAAACGATGCCCACTGAGGGGTGTAGACTGGGAGCTGTGCTGGGCAAGTGAGGGACAGCCAGACCTATGGAGGGGCAGAAACTGCCTTCAGGAGGTAGCTGGGGACCTGAGGCGCCCTGGGCCCTGGGAGGTTCCTGGTCCTGTTTATTGGTGCTAATTTTGCCCAGCTTCTTGGAAGTGGCAGTTGATAGAGGTTTGGGTTTGCTGGGGAGGAAGTCCCCAGCCGGCCCCTCCAGGGAGGCCTCCAGTGCTATCAGACCTGGCAGTGGTGTGGCGCTCAGGGTCCTTCTGTCTAGGGTGGGGAGTGGCGCGAGAGAGAGTGGAATGCCCCACCTGCTCCCTGCCTTTCTCCCCTGCCCGCTCTCAAGACCAAAGGCAGTTTCCAGCCCAGCTCATTGCTCTCACCCCAATCCCAGCCTGGAAAGAAAAACCTCTAGAGCCCCCACCCCAAGCCATCCTTCCTCTGTCCTGGGTCCTGCACCGAGTCCTAAGTGCCTGTGAGGTCTTCCGGGGACTGCAGAGGGGGGGCACGGGCAGGGAGAGGCCTTTGCCTCACTCACACCCCATCCTGGCAGAGCCTGACCCTGCCTGAGGCCCAGCATTGTGTGTGTTTGTTTACCCAGGGAGCCATGAGAGAGAGCAGAGCCAATCTTTTTCTCAAAATATATCTTTACTGATTTCAGAGAGGAAGGGAGAGGGAGAGAGATAGAAACATCAATGATGAGAGAGTCATGATCAGCTGCCTCCTGTACGTCCCCTACTGGGGATCGAACCCGGGACCCGTCAGTCCCCAGGCCGATGCTCTAGCCAGAGCCAAACCAGCCAGGGCGAGCAGAGCTCATCTCTAGGGGA